ACCTAAGCCCGTTTGCATATATCCATATAAATACATTTACAAAAGAATATGACTCAATTGGACTAAAACTCGTTTATCCTTTCCATAATGCCAGTAAGATTTCTTTTTGACTTTGTATTATGAATGGGAAGTTGTTTTATGAGTGATATACTTCTTCGATGATGTTTTTCTAATGAAATTCGATGCCTCGATCCATTTTTGTCGGGGCTGTATGACGAGTTGTCGAGGATCGTATGATCTAGTCGACAATCCTACCAACGATCTTGTACCAATCTTCCAGAGGGACCAATGTCTGTACAAGATGTGAAAATAATACAAATTTTTCGAAATCTGCTTATTCTTTTCGAGGCAAGCACGTTTGCAACTGTTGCTTTTTGTTCTGTGAAGGACTTCCTCTCAATTCTCAAATCCATGAATGCACCTTGTCTTCTTCATTTCATTATTTGATCATTTGTGCCATTCTGGATCGTGATATTGGTCGTTTTCTGTCCTGCCTTTGCCGACAGAACCTGACTCCCTGCATGGGCCAAATGATTAAAGAAGTGGACAATCGGCAAGAGGAGCTGGTAAACCAGTCCCATGCCGGTCTCCTCCGACGTGGCATCGAACAGGTGAAACGGCTGACTCCAATCCTCATATCCTCTATCAAGCAGGACATCAGCACTCGAAATCACGGTAAGTGACAGCATCTCATGACATGTCTGCATGTAGCCACTAGTCTTCCGAAGCATCAAAATGAGGATGCGCATTTTCTGCTTCAAGCGATAATGAATTTGTCTAATCGCAGACGAATTCAGACTGATGCTCGATACATTTTGTGACATAAGCGACTTGTTCTGTGGATCCTCATATTCGCATTTTTCATTCATTAACGAATACAAAACTTGCTTATACTTCAATCTGGATACAGCATTTTATGATATTGTTATACTAGTTTGTAATCTCTTTAAGGGCAGAACAATAAGTAATCCAGAATATCTGCGTATCACTCAATTGAGAGGCCTCTTTTTGATCTGCACTCTTCTCCTTTCTTTTCGCTCTTTATTTATTTCCTTGTTCTCAATTCTGTTCACA